CTGTGTGTACTGCAAGGCCTTCTGGGAGTCTGAGTCCTGTGTGTTTGCAGGTTGATTGGCTGACGGAGAAGATGAGGGAGGCGAACTTCACCGTTTCCTCGATGCATGGAGACATGCCTCAGAAAGAGAGAGAGTCCATCATGAAGGAGTTCAGATCAGGAGCCAGGTACACACACACACACACACACACATACACACACTCACACACTCACATTAACACACACTAACTCTCTCCCCCCCCCCTCTCCCAGTCGGGTCCTGATCTCCACAGATGTCTGGGCTCGAGGTCTGGACGTTCCTCAGGTTTCTCTCATCATCAACTACGACCTGCCCAACAACAGAGAGCTCTACATCCACAGGTAACATATCCCTCCACACCAAATAGATCCACAGGTCATATATCCCTCCACACCAAGTAGATCCACAGGTCATATATCCCTCCACACCAAGTAGATCCACAGCTCACATATCCCTCCACACCAAATAGATCCACAGGTAACATATATCCCTTCACACCAAGTAGATCCACAGCTCACATATCCCTCCACACCAAGTAGATCCACAGCTCACATATCCCTCCACACCAAGTAGATCCACAGGTAACATATATCCCTTCACACCAAGTAGATCCACAGCTCACATATCCCTCCACACCAAGTAGATCCACAGCTCACATATCCCTCCACACCAAGTAGATCCACAGGTCATATATCCCTCCACACCAAGTAGATCCACAAGTCACATATCCCTCCACACCAAGTAGATCCACAGGTTACATATCCCTCCACACCAAGTAGATCCACAGCTCACATATCCCTCCACACCAAGTAGATCCACAAGTCACATATCCCGCCACACCAAGTAGATCCACAGGTTACATATCCCTCCACACCAAATAGATCCACAGGTTACATATCCCTCCACACCAAGTAGATCCACAGCTCACATATCCCTCCACACCAAGTAGATCCACAGGTCACATATCCCTCCACACCAAGTAGATCCACAGGTCACATATCCCTCCACACCAAGTAGATCCACAGGTCATATATCCCTCCACACCAAGTAGATCCACAGGTTACATATCCCTCCACACCAAGTAGATCCACAGGTCACATATCCCTCCACACCAAGTAGATCCACAAGTCACATATCCCGCCACACCAAGTAGATCCACAGGTTACATATCCCTCCACACCAAATAGATCCACAGGTTACATATCCCTCCACACCAAGTAGATCCACAGCTCACATATCCCTCCACACCAAGTAGATCCACAGCTCACATATCCCTCCACACCAAGTAGATCCACAGGTCACATATCCCTCCACACCAAGTAGATCCACAGGTCACATATCCCTCCACACCAAGTAGATCCACAGGTCATATATCCCTCCACACCAAGTAGATCCACAGCTCACATATCCCTCCACACCAAGTAGATCCACAGGTCACATATATCCCTCCACACCAAGTAGATCCACAAGTCACATATCCCTCCACACCAAGTAGATCCACAGGTCACATATCCCTCCACACCAAGTAGATCCACAGGTCACATATCCCTCCACACCAAGTAGATCCACAAGTCACATATCCCTCCACACCAAGTAGATCCACAGGTCACATATCCCTCCACACCAAGTAGATCCACAGGTCATATATCCCTCCACACCAAGTAGATCCACAGGTCATATATCCCTCCACACCAAGTAGATCCACAGGTCATATATCCCTCCACACCAAGTAGATCCACAAGTCACATATCCCTCCACACCAAGTAGATCCACAGGTCACATATCCCTCCACACCAAGTAGATCCACAGGTCACATATCCCTCCACACCAAGTAGATCCACAGGTCATATATCCCTCCACACCAAGTAGATCCACAGGTCACATATCCCTCCACACCAAGTAAATCCACAGGTCACATATCCCTCCACACCCAAGTAGACTCCACAGGTCATATATCCCTCCACACCAAGTAGATCCACAAGGTCACATATCCCTCCACCACCAAGTAGATCCACAAGTAGATCCAGTCATATCCCTCCACACCAAGTAGATCCACAAGTCACATATCCCTCCACACCAAGTAGATCCACAGGTTACATATCCCTCCACACCAAGTAGATCCACAGCTCACATATCCCTCCACACCAAGTAGATCCACAGGTCACATATCCCTCCACACCAAGTAGATCCACAGGTCACATATCCCTCCACACCAAGTAGATCCACAGGTCACATATCCCTCCACACCAAGTAGATCCACAGGTCACATATCCCTCCACACCAAGTAGATCCACAGGTCATATATCCCTCCACACCAAGTAGATCCACAGCTCACATATCCCTCCACACCAAGTAGATCCACAGCTCACATATCCCTCCACACCAAGTAGATCCACAGGTCACATATCCCTCCACACCAAGTAGATCCACAGGTCACATATCCCTCCACACCAAGTAGATCCACAGCTCACATATCCCTCCACACCAAGTAGATCCACAGGTCACATATCCCTCCACACCAAGTAGATCCACAGGTCACATATCCCTCCACACCAAGTAGATCCACAGGTCACATATCCCTCCACACCAAGTAGATCCACAGGTCACATATCCCTCCACACCAAGTAGATCCACAGGTCATATATCCCTCCACACCAAGTAGATCCACAGCTCACATATCCCTCCACACCAAGTAGATCCACAGCTCACATATCCCTCCACACCAAGTAGATCCACAGGTCACATATCCCTCCACACCAAGTAGATCCACAGGTCACATATCCCTCCACACCAAGTAGATCCACAGCTCACATATCCCTCCACACCAAGTAGATCCACAGGTCACATATCCCTCCACACCAAGTAGATCCACAGGTCACATATCCCTCCACACCAAGTAGATCCACAGAAGTACTTTATTGATCCCAAATTGGGAACACATGGTATTTTACAATACAAATGAAAAGACTTGAAATAAACAAGAAAGTAGAAAATATATTTGATGTGTGATTGGCCCGTCTAACGCAACCTCTGACCTCCTCCAGGATCGGTCGTTCAGGTCGTTACGGGCGAAAAGGTGTCGCCATCAACTTCGTGAAGAACGACGACATCCGGATCCTTCGAGACATCGAGCAGTATTACAGCACGCAGATCGACGAGATGCCCATGAACGGTACGACCAATCACAGAGCCAGGCTTAGGTCACATGTCCCGCCTCGGCCAATCAGAGCCATGCTGTAGTATCTCCTCTCTGTGATAGTTCCTTAGTTAAGGTAAATCTTTAAGGGGAAATTGAGTGATTAATGACGTGTTTCCCCCTGCAGTGGCCGACCTGATCTAATTGGACGATGACACCGAAGCCTCGCCCCCTGACTTCCTGTTATTTCCCGCCTGTTTTGTTTTTTAACTAGTTTTAGAGATCGTCTTTATTTGACCGTCGAGGTGAAGCAACTTGTTTTGTAAATAAAGTTTTGATTCCACGTCAGCTGTCGTCACCTGGTTTATTAAAGAGGTTCTTCTTCTGTGGTGGTTTGAAGAGGTTCTTCTTCTGTGGTGTTCTACAGCAGGGGTTCCCTAATCAGCCCACGACCCCCAAAGTAACGGGGGGGGTGCGAGTGAATTTATTTCAGTGTTCCGTACTCTCGCAGGATGTAGCCCAGCGCCACACCTTCGTCACACGGTGCCACTTGTTTGTAACATTTTCAGGCGACTTGTAATCTGCTCGAGAAAAACGATGTGTTTTAGATTTCAAGAAGTGTATAAAACAAACAATGGGTGTATTTGATGAACATTTCTCCAGGCTGGATTTAGATGTTAGGAGTGAGAGTCTTTTATATGCACCAATGAAGCTTTGCATGAAGGCTGTGGTTGGGGCAGACCACGCAGGGTTCATGTTTTAATGAGCAGGCGAGCCTCACATGTGAACAAAGGGCTCAGGCCTCAGAGTCGTACTGCATGCGGTGTGTTTAGCATCTCTCAGTAGCCAGCGCTCTGAGAGATGCTCCCTGTTTATGGGTTCATTCTTTACGGCCTTCTTAATAAAGCAGATCAGGTAATCATTTCCTCTCAGTCCCACAGCGTCTCCGCTCCGTCAGGAACACCGTCTGAGTCAGTCAGGCACATCTTTAGTCCTGTCTCTGCTGGTCCAGGATGATGCCGATGGGTCCTCCTGCTCTCAGGCGTCCATCGTTGATCTGACTGAAATTGTGATTTTAATCTCAAAACTGCGACAGTATTTTCAGGCAGAAATTTGGGACAATTATTTTGACATTAACCTTAAAAGTGAACTAACTGACTGCTAGGGTTAACTTTGATTTAAACATTTGTAGAATACTAAGGGCTTTATTGAATAGGTGTAACTGTATTAAGGGTTAAACTCATAACTTTATCACTTAGGGTTTCATGTGACACAGCATTCCCACTACTTAAAATTCTTTATTATTCCGCCGGGTTATTTTGGCCCTCTTCTCCTCCCGCATTGAACATCGCAGAAACTCCGTTCAAACATCAAAACGTTCAGCTCGGTCGGGAATCAATGGATATTACTTTTCTCATTCATAACTTTCATAATTCCAGAGATACATCCCATAATACATCACATGTTTAACATGGAAGTCAATGGAGAAACTCTTCAGACTTCAACAAATCTTCATGCAACTTCAACTGCTAACTGTTCGTTCATACTTTCACTCAGAAACCTCATTCCAACTTTAACATGTTACACATCTTTCTGACATTATTCGTGTAACACAACTTTTAAATCTGATTCATACTTTTAGAGATATTAAACATTGTTCAGACCTTGGTACAGAGGCCTTCTTCAGATTTAGAGTGCGTGATGTCACAGCTAGAGTGGAGGACAGATTTCATTTTTTTAAACCTGCCATAATTCCCAAACCCTACATTCCTGAGACATAATTCTTCATGACAAACGTAGGAAAACATCTCGTAGCTTGAAAGATAAAAAAAAATTAAGCAAAATGATTAAACAAAATGCCTCTTGAGGGCATGAAGTGACAAAAACGTTCAACATGTCTCCATTAAACTCCATTGTATGTTCAGCCTCATCGATCCCCACCACAGCAGCCGCACACTTTTAGTTAATCTGCCAAAAAGGCCACATTATTAACCCCAAAGTACACAACAATTACACTTCAGATGCTCAAGTTCCTTGACATGCTTCACGTTTTGAAATTTCACAGATATCTGTTACGGTTCTTCAAGAAAACGTTCACATGTAAGAGGTTTATCTCTCATTCAGAACAATGAAAATGCTCTCCTCTCACCGATTACTGCACATCACCATGGAAACCTTTGATCTCTGCACACCCCGTTAGCTCAAATATAAACACCTGTGTCATGGAACCATGCATGGAACACGATGTCATAACTCCACCTGACATGCTCAGAGCAGCAGACCTCAGATAAAGGTTAATGGTCCAGCCCTCAACAGCTCTACGTCAATGATGGGGTGTCATCATATGCCGTTTCCATGGAAACGCATCCCTCGCCATGAAACACGATGTCGCTGTAACTCCAATGGACACGGTCCGATCGCCCCCAAACTTCGCTTGTATATCACCGGTCCATGCCTCAACAGCTCTACGCCAAATCTGAGATCTCACCATAGGCTGTTTCCATGGAAACGCATCCCTCGCCATAAAACATGATGTCATGATACCTATGAAAATGGTCAAAACACCACCAGACTTCAGATGACAGTTAATGGTCCAGCCTTCAACATTTCTATGTGCCATTAGTGAGTTTTCCTCAAAAGCTGTTGCCATGGCAACGCATCCCTTGCAATAAAACACGATATTGCTATAACTCCTATGAAAATTGTCAAAAAGTGCTCAAACTTCACATGTGTGCTAACAGTCCAGCCGTGAAGACATCTACGGGACAGTTTTTAGATTTCTTCAAATGCCGTTGCCATGGCAACCCAATGCTCGCCATGAAACGCGGTTTTCTCATAATTTCAGTGAAAATACTCCAAACAGCCCAAGACTTCACAGGTTTGCTAACGATGCAGCTATCAACATATCTAAGCGTATTATGGGGTGTCATCAAATGCCGTTGCCATGGCGACAGATCATTCGCCATCAAGTTAGTTCAAAAGTTTGCAGTTCAAATATTCTGCTGCTTTTCCAAGCCTTTTTACTTTCTTTTCTTCTCTCATCACACATTCAAGCCTCCAGTGTTCATGTTTCATTTCAATCTAAAGTCTTCACTTTCTATTGAGGCCCATCAGCTGCAGAGAGTTAACTAATTAAAGGGGCGTGGCCCCACAGCTGTGACAACTCAGCAATCAGAACAAAGCTTCCATTTTAGGTAGCACTTTCCTGGAGCTTCAGCGTCCGACAGACGAAGACTGAAAAAGACAATAGAGTCCTGTTGGAGGCAAAGAGGAGGTAAATCCTACTTTAAATGAGCTAAGTATCGCTGGTGTTTTTATCCACTCTTGCTAAATACATGTATTTTCTCCATTCCTGTTCATGTGTCTTCTCGCAATTATCACTGGCCCCGTGTATCTCCTAATCGATATAACCGGCCTGCTCTCGTCTATCCCACGTGCTCCACTGACATCCAACATCTAGTTTCAGGCGGCCTGTGGAACTGCCAGTCAGCTGTTCCTAAGGCTGACTTCATCTCTGGCTACACCTCCCTGCAGTCTCTGGATTTCCTTGCTCTCACTGAGACCTGGATTACTCCATCCAACACATCCACCCCAGCAGCTCTCTCCACTGCATATTCCTTCTCCCATACACCCAGACCCACTGGCAGAGGAGGTGGCACTGGTCTCCTGCTCTCTCCCAAATGGAGCTTTTCCCTCTTCAAGCTACCTAACTTCACTCCTTCCACCTTTGAATTCCATGCCGTCACAGTAACCCATCCTATACAGTGAACCATTGTTGTTCTCTACCGTCCACCAGGCACCTTGGGGGACTTCTTGGAGGAATTAGATCATCTCCTCTCACTCATCCCTGAAACTGGCCCTCCCGCTGTACTTCTCGGAGACTTCAACCTCCAGACGGGGAAGATAGACGAACTAACATCTCTGTTAACCGCCCTTGCTTTCTCACTGTCTCCGTCCCCACCGACTCATAAAGCTGGCAATGTCCTTGATCTCATATTCTCAAGGAACTGCTCTACTTCTAACCTCTCTGTAAACCCGCTCCACACATCCGATCACTTCTTCATTTCATTCTCTCTATCCCTTTCCAAACATAACAAACTAATCTCTTCCCATCCTGCACCTGTCCGCCGTAACCTTTGTTCCCTCTCCCCCTCTACCTTTGCCTCATCGGTGCTCTCAGCCCTCCCTTCCTCTGATTCGTTCCAACTCCTGCCTCCAAACTCTGCTGCAGAAACTCTACTCTCTACTCTCTCATCCACTCTGGACTCGCTCTGTCCTCTCACATCTCGGCAGGCTCGTCAGTCCCCTCCTGCTCCCTGGCTAAATGACGCACTGCGTGCTAATAGAACCGTCCTTAGGGCAGCAGAGCGGAAACGGTGGAAATCCAAACACCGTGACGACCTCCTAACCTATCAAGCTCTCCTCTTTCTCTGCTTCGATCTCTCAGGCAAAAAGCACTTTCTTTCAAGATAAGATCCAATCTTCCTATTCCAATCCCAAAAAACTATTTTCCATCTTCTCCTCCCTCTTGGACCCTCCAAAAGCCCCTTCCCCCTCCTCCCTCCTGGACAGGCCTGTCTCTCTCCTCCCGTTCCTGTCTAAATCACTTGAACGCGCTGTCTTTAAACAACTCTCCTGCTATCTCCATCAGAACAACCTTCTGGATCCGCACCAGTCTGGTTTCAAGGCAGGTCACTCCACAGAAACTGCCCTCCTTGCTGTCACGGAGGAACTGCACACTGCCAAAAGCAGCCTCCCTCTCCTCTGTCATCATCCTGTTGGACCTGTCTGCTGCATTCGACACGGTGAATCATCAGATCCTCCTTCGCACTCTCCAAGAACTTGGAGTTTCAGGCTCTGCACTTTCCCTCATCACCTCATACCTGAAAGACCGTACCTACAGGGTGACTTGGAGAGGGTCAGAGTCCGACCCTTGTCAATTAACTACAGGGGTCCCTCAGGGCTCTGTTCTTGGTCCCCTCCTCTTCTCCTTGTACACAAACTCGCTCGGATCAGTCATTAGCCCGCATGGTTTTTCATACCACTGCTACGCTGACGACACCCAATTCATTCTGTCCTTTCCCCCGCTCAGAGACTCAGGTCGTCGCACGCATCTCTGCTTGTCTAGCTGACATCTCTCAGTGGATGTCTGCTCATCACCTCAAGCTCAACCTTGACAAGACTGAGCTGCTCTTCCTCCCGGGAAAAGATTGTCCCACTCTTGACCTAACAATCAACATCGGCACCTCAGTTGTTTCCCCGACTCAGACTGCAAGGAATCTGGGTGTGACCCTAGATAACAACCTGTCCTTCACTGCAAACATCGCTGCTACAACCCGTTGCTGCAG